CCGGAATCGGGCCGAAATGTGCAAATCCTTGCGACCACTGATTTAGATATTAAAATTAATAATACCTGTTCGTAAATCTTCAATAATATCACCCACTATAGAATTCTCATCTCTGTTTGTCACAGCAGCAATTGTATTTTCTTAGAGTAAACACAATAAAATTTACACGTCATTTTCGTTTTATACTTGAATTTCTGAGAGATATATATACCTACTTTCTTTGTCGGATTTATCCATTATTTTGGTTGAAGTGATATTATTCGTATTGAAATTTGCACCCCTTTCTTCATTTGTAGTAATATCTTTTCCGGTAGTTATATTATTATTGTTTGGTTCTTCTGCGTATATTGACAAATATTTATGTACAAAAATTAAATAAATATGAAATAAAAAATATTGTTCACAGTTGAAAAATAATAAAAAATAGAAACCATTATTAAGTGTTTGTAAAAACAAAGTTGATACTACTTCATAGTGAAGTAGTTCATGGATTTGCTTGGATTTAAAAAATAGTAATACATATGTGTGTGTTAAATATTGTGTATTATTTGGAAAATGTGAGTCGTATTAGTGATATTTATTTGAATTTATTTTTAATGATTAGTATATTTTACTTGTCCGTAAATCATGTTGAATTGTTATCGAAGGAGGCGGTGTCATTCTTAGTGAATCGGAACTGTCAGAGTGGACATCTTTGCTTATATACTTTCTTTTACGTTTACCTTTTCCCAGCTCAAAACATGATGTTTCGGTATCTGTATTTGATTTTTGTTTGCATAATTTAATGCCTTCTCATAGGAGTCTGCAATTAGAAAAAGTAACATTAGAGAAAGAAAAACATATTTTTAATAGATTTAGGATTGTGAAACTATTATTCGTGCTCTGCTTTAAGGCATCTTATGCTGTTCTTTATTTAATTTGTATTAAAGATAAATTTTGAACACGTTATATCAGTTACATGTAAATTTTCTTAGAAGTTGTTGAATTACTGACTACATGAATAAACTAAAATAATAAATTATGCCTTAGGTCTCGTCCGGATGGAGAATTAAGCGTAGTCGTGCGTCCGCGCACGTTCAGCCAACAGAGTTTAGATACTAGGGAAAAATTTTTTCCCTTGTCGCGCCGTGGCGCTACCGATGCCGTGGCGCGCCTAACGCTGCGCGCCACCGGCCATGTTCATTGTGTTTCTGTTTACGTCAGTCAACATATTGACAGTTAAAGTTATCCGTGTTTTGTGCGATTCTGGTAGTGTCAGGTGTACGATTATGGCCAGCTCGCGCTCTAGGAGCCGCTCGAGCTCAAGAGAGCATAAGAAGCACAGGAAACGCTCTCGCGAATATAAGAGGAAACGTGATAGATCGCGTGTCCGCTCGCGCGAGGTTAAGCGTTCTCGATCCTTCTCCGAGGATCGTTTAGGCCAGGGATCGCCGAGATACTCGCAGACGCTTGGAGATGCAGCACTCCTGACGAACATTCTAGAGGCAGTTCAGGACCAAGGACGAAAGATTGCCCTATTGGAAAGCGAGGTTAGGGGACGGCAGTCGCGTTCCCCCGCTTTTCAGCCACAAGAAGAGCCGACGGCTCATGAGAGCCGGGGCACCGAACCTGGTAAGCTCCCTTGTCGACCCTTTTTCCGAGGAAATTGGCAAAGAGGGAGCTTAACCGACGGCTCTTCTGCGGCACAGTATTCATGACTTCTCCGTCCGTGGCAGATATAGAGTCAGAACCAAAGGACTCAGTCACTTTTGTAAATACAGACGCTGAACAGGATGGAGAGCCATCACTGGTCAGCCAGTTGTTCCGCACTCAGCAGGATTCGCTGGAGGTTTTGGCATGGGATCAGGTAATGCTCGACTTTACCAGAGCTACCGTAAGGGCCGGGCTCCCAGACGATTTGCGTACACAGTTGCTGACTAAATTCGGGGTCAGGGAAGGTTTCGCATCCTTCGGACCACCGAAACTCAACAAACTACTGCTGCCGGTGCTGAAAGCCTCATCAACGGTTGCTAAAAAGGATGAGTACCAGGCACTGGCCCAAACGCAGGTCGCAGCCGCTCTCAATGCCCTGGGCACAGGCCTTTCCCACCTCACAAAACCTGAGGTGACCTCTCTCCTGCCAATGGATGGTAAGTCAGCGCTCAGCCAGATCGCTGAAGGCATACAACTCCTAACCGATCACCAATATAGGCTGTCACTAGCCAGACGGGCCTTCATAAAACCGGCCTTGAATTTGTTGGGGAAATCTCCCGCCGACCTAGCCCCAATAGACGAGTGGCTGTTCGGGACTTCGTTCGTTGAAGAAGTCAAAGACGCCCAGGCCTGTGAGAAAGTCGCCCGGGTGCTCTCCAAGACTCCGGCCACGCCCTCCAAGGTCACCCCTCTCCCAGGAGCGAAGATCCAATCAGCCCGGAGACAGGCCCCAGCGGGAAACGCGAGAGCCCCTGCCCGCCAGTCGAATCAACCGTATCGCCGGGCAGGGGCTCACCTACCGAGGAGCCGGTCTCAAAGACCAGCGTCCCGCTCTCGCACACATCGCCGCTGAATCCGGTAAGAACCGCAGGCCGACTGGCTTATTTCTTGCACAATTGGAAGGTTATAACATCGGACCAGGAAGTTTTGCGGGCAATTCAGGGATATAAAATCCCTTTTTTCGTATCACCACCCGCGCGCTCGGAGCTGGAGGAACCAACCTTTTCAGCCTCGTCCTCGACTCACTGCAACTTAGAAATTGACAGACTATTACGAAAAGGGGCCATATATCCAGTTCAACCCTTAAGGGATCAGTTTCTCTCCCCCTTTTTCCTAATTGACAAACCATCAGGAGGCAGGCGTTTCATATTAAATCTAAAAGAGCTTAATACCCACATTCTCCCACCTCACTTTAAGTTGGAAGACTGGCGGACAGTTGTACGTCTCATGCTCCCTAATGTCGAGATGGCATCTCTAGATTTAGAAGACGCTTATTTAGCAGTGCCTATCCACCCTTCGTACAGGAAATATCTTAGATTCCGATGGCAGGGGATTATCTATGAATTTGCGGCCCTACCATTTGGCCTCGCTACAGCGCCGTATATATTTACAAAAATTTTACGCCCAGTGGTTGCTTATCTTCGTGCAGAAGGTTACGAGTCGGTACTGTATCTGGACGATTTCCTCCTACTGGCCCACTCAAAAGAAGCCTGTCGACGTAATGTGCAGGCGCATATTAATACTCTTTCGAAGCTGGGCTTTGTTATTAACTTTGGGAAGTCAGAACTGGAACCTGCTCGCCGTCGCAAATACCTTGGCTTTGTGTTTGATTCGGAATCGCAATCTGTCGCTATTCCAGAAACCCGCCGAATTAAACTGTATTCGCTTGTTTCAGATTTCTCGGCCAAATCTCACTGCTCGATCACGGATTTCGCCAACATGATTGGCTCCCTTATTTCAGTCTGTCCCGCGGTGAAATATGGCTTATTCTACACAAAGAACTTTGAGAGGCATAAATTCCTGGCCCTCAAAGGAACTAATAACGACTTCAAAGCTAGAATGGTTATCTCGCGGGATCTCGATGAGGATTTCCGTTGGTGGCTGGATGCTTTAGCCAAACAGGATCGGGCGAATCATATTCTAACAGGTCGCTTCGCTCGAGAAATTTTTTCGGATGCCTCCCTGACGGGCTGGGGCGCGTCATCATCCGAGGATAGGACTCATGGCTGGTGGTCTGAGGCGGAGAAGACCCTTCACATTAATACATTAGAGCTTAAAGCAGCTTTCTACGGATTAAAATGCTTTGCATCGGATCTAAGTAGCTGTAAGATTTTATTAAGGGTGGATAACACCACAGCAATATCATATATTAATCGTTTCGGATCGGTCAAATATCCCCACTTATCAAACCTTTCAAGGGATATCTGGCAATGGTGTGAGGCTAAAAATATCTGACTGGTAGCCTCATACATCGCCTCGGCCGAAAATGCCATTGCGGACGAAGAATCTCGTCGCAGAAATGCGGACACTGAATGGTCATTGTCCGCGGACGCTTTTCAGATAATAGACAGGGAATTTGGCCCCTTTGACATTGACCTCTTCGCTTCTAACATTAATGCAAAGTGCAACATCTTTGTCTCCTGGTTTCCAGACCCAGAGTCTTTTGATGTCGACGCATTCACCCTTTACTGGGGTGAATTCCATTTTTACGCTTTCCCCCCCTTCATTTTACTTCCACGGGTCCTACGGAAAATCATTGACGATAAAGCAGAAGGGGTGGTGATAGTTCCGTGGTGGCCATCACAACCCTGGTTTCCACTCTTTAATCGTCTTACAACCTCACATCCAATTATTTTGCGCCCAGCGGATAACCTGTTGTCTTCTCCTTTTAGGGATCACCACCCGGCGGCCAGATCCCTTTCCCTGGGGGCAGGGAACTTATCGGGCAAGCATTTAAGGCTAGAGGGGTCCCGCAGTCGGCCGTCGACATCATGTTAGCGTCTCTCTCACCAGCTACAATCCGTCAATATTCGGGCCCTCTCCGCTCCTGGTGGGTTTTTTCTCAAAATCAGCATTGCTCTCCATTCCGTCCAGAAACCAAGGATGTCCTCCTTTTTCTGTCAGGTCTATCGCGAACAGTAGGTTCTTATGCCTCACTGAACTCGGCCAGATCAGCGATTTCTCTAATTTCGTCAAACAAAATCGGTAACGACCCCTTGATCAAACGGTTCTGTAAGGGGATTAGTGTACTGAAACCTTCCGGTCCGCGTTATGATTACATTTGGGATCCATCCCCGGTAATATCGAAACTGACAACCCTCTTCCCACACGAATCGCTATCACTAGAGGTGATAACTAAGAAGTTAGTCGTGTTATTAGCGCTAGCATCGGGACAACGGTGTCAAACCCTTGCCGCGATTCGTGTTTCGCAGATCTCATTTACTGCACAAAGGGTTCTCATTCGCGTACCGGATCGAATAAAGACCTCAGCTCCGGGCCGATCTCAACCTCTTCTGTCCTTCCCTCGATTCAAGGGGCACGACAATTTATGTGTTGTCAATTTACTCTCTCACTATTTGTCAAGAACGCAAGACATTCGCCCCTCGGCCTGTGATTCCCTTTTTATTGCGCTCAAACGCCCGCATACCGCGGTAGGCACCCAGACGATTAGCCGCTGGATAAAAAATCCCCTAGCCGAGTGCGGTGTAGAAGACATCTTCTCCGCTCACAGTACGCGACATGCGTCAACGTCACTCGCGGCCCAGAAGGGCATCTCTGTGAATCTTATCAGGCGGGCGGCGGGATGGTCCGGCGAATCGCGTGTATTCGCGAATTTTTACAATAGAACAGTATTAGACGAAGACGCGTTCGCTAACGCGATCTTATCGTCAAGTCTATCCACGTCATAGTTTAGTTCTTTTTTCATCCGCGTTACAATTATATTCAGGCTCTCATGCATGTACCGTTTTTACTCATGCTTAATAAAAAGCAATTGTTTCCTTTTGTTGTATTTAGCTATCGAAATGTTTACCGAGTTTCTCTTAACTCCTCCTTCTCGTTTTACTATCGGGGATGAGAACGAGTCACGTTCTGAACATCTACACTTAATTCTCCATCCGGACGAGACCTAAGGCATAATTTATAGATCAAACGAACTTACCAAGTGAAGTTCGATCATAATTATGCCGATGGTCTCGTCCGGATGGACCAACCCTCCCTGATCCTCCCCGGAGCGTAAGCATTACCAGGTGACTCGTTCTGGGCTCCCCGGTGTTTTGAAATATGAACATGGCCGGTGGCGCGCAGCGTTAGGCGCGCCACGGCATCGGTAGCGCCACGGCGCGACAAGGGAAAAAATTTTTTCCCTAGTATCTAAACTCTGTTGGCTGAACGTGCGCGGACGCACGACTACACTTAATTCTCCATCCGGACGAGACCATCGGCATAATTATGATCGAACTTCACTTAGTAAGTTCGTTTGATCTATAAATTAGCCTCCTTACCTCCTCGAGGTTGATAAAATAAACTCATTCGACGCATTTTTGCACTACATGAAAAATGTGCCCCGCGAACCAAGTTATTAATTGTTATTAATTAAAGTTGACAGATATCCAGAGGAAATCTGTTGCATCGATGGCATAAAGGATTAAACAAATTTTCTGCTTTACAGACACATATTAACCAAGCAAATACTCTGCTGTAATCTATGCCACCATCGATATGACAGATTTCCTAATAGTCCTCTGAATAGTCATCAACTTTAACAATTAATATCTCGGTCCACGGGGTAGAGCGATACATATTTTTTGCCAGATTCGTTCATTTCGTACAAAAACGTGTCGAGTAAATCTAAAATGTGTATTGCAGAAGCAGAAAATCACTTACGTGTTCCTCTATGCCATGGATGTGACGGATTTCCTAACTTAATACTTTAATTCCAAAAGTGTACACTAGTTCATCATCAGCCACAGAAAATATACACACGTGCGACGTGCCCATGCACATTGCCAGCGTCACATTTGCCTCTTGCGCCAAAAATTCCAAAAGGACATTACCTCCACCACTCCGTAGCGGCGACGACGACGACGTCGATGATAATGACGTTTCTTAATATAAAAGTTTCAGATTCGTATTTTGCGTCGCAACATCTCCGCTCGTAGAGCACGTAGAGAAAAAATACTTTCATTATATATCCCGAACGATTGCAATCGATTGAGCACACTTAGAACTTGGTCGGTTCAGCCCTTATTGAGATCCGATAATCTCGATCTGCCGCAACTCGCCGGCTCGCGTAAAGTAGCCACGGTAGTGTCGCTACGCGTAGCTTAGCGCCGAGACACTACCAGTGTCTCCAGATTTGAATCGATCTTGCGGTAGACCTTTCGTGAAAATATCAGCTAATTGGTTCTGGCTTGATATGAATCTAACGTTTATTTCGCAATTTGTGAATTTTTCTCGGATGAAGTGATAGCGCACGTCGATGTGTTTTGTGCGATTATCGAATTTGAGGTTTTTAACAAGTTTTATCGCGCTCTCGTTGTCGATCATAATCGCTGTTGTTTCTTGGCATCGGTGCCCGAGATCGATCAGGTGTTTCCTGAGCCATATTGCTTCTTTTGTCACTAAACTTACCGCGATATACTCGACTTCGATGCTTAAACTCACGGTCGTTTGTCTTTTTGAATACTACGTAACGGGGCCATTCATTATCTTGAAGATGTATCCGCTAATGGAGCAGCGTGTGTCTATATCTGCCGCGTAGTCGGAGTCGCTATACTCCTCTAACATGGGGATAGAACCGTTGTCTCTATACATTATTCCGTAATCTGAAGTTTCTTTTAGATATTTGAAAATTCGTTTCACTACATTCCAGTGAGATATGTCGTGTTTGTCCAAATAACGACTGACGACTCCGACTGCGTAAGAGATATCTGGTCTAGTTACATTCGCTAGGAATAGAAGAGCTCCTACGGCCTCACGGTATGGTGTATGTTTACAAATTGTGTTCTCAGCATCGGCTGATCGCAGCTTTGTGTGAGGATCAGCGGGAATTGATACAGAGTTTGCATTGGACATTCCGAAGCGTGTCAACAGCCAATCGATATAATGTTTCTGGTGAATTAAAATAACATTATTCGACCGATCGCGTTCTATCTCTATACCGACATATATATTTCCGTCTCCCTTGGTCATCTCGAAAGTCGCGTTTAAGACATGAAGGACTTTATTCAGCGTATTTTGTGATGGTGCTATTATTAGTCCATCATCGACATAGAGAGCGAGATACACCTTCTCGCCTTCAAACTGACCGAGGTAGACGCAATGGTCTGCGTTGCTTTGCTGGAAATTGAACCTTTGTAGAAATTCGTGAAATTGTTTGTTCCAGCACCTTGCGGCCTGTTTGAAGCCATATAAGGCCTTGTTTAATTTGCAGACCATTTTGTCGTTGCCTGTATCAAGCCCTCCGGTAATTGCATATATATTTCTTCCCTGAGAGTTCCATTAATAAACGCGGTTTTAATATCGAATTGGCTTAACTCTAGATTCTCGCACGCGGCGATCGCCAGAAGGATGCGTATAGAATCATGGGGGAAAACGTTTCTATATAGTCGAAACGGACTTTCTGCGAAAAAGCTTTTGCGCACAAGCGCGCCTTGATATCGCTTCCTGTTGGATTCTCTTTGACTTTGAAGACCCACTTACACCCTATTATGTTACGCTCTTTAGGTAATCGAACCAAAGTCCAAGTGTTATTTTTCGCATGAGCCTCAAGCTTTTCCCTGATTACAGATTTCCACCGGTCTGCGTTCTCGCCCGTGGTTGCCTCGGTAAAAGTCACCGGTTCGTCGAATGTCGCAACGCTCGCCTCGTAACGACTCGACGATTTTAACAGTTCTTGGTTCCTTAAATTATATGCTGCGGCATGTTCTATCTGTACTGAATTCTTTGTTTCATCTGTTTGAGGGATTGATTTTTCCCTTGTTTGAGAGATTCACAGTCATTCTCGGTAACTATTAAATCTGGCGATACATTGTTAGATGCTTTATCTAATTTGTCGGGTATTTCATTAATTACAACGTCTCTTGCCACTATAATTTTATTCGTAGACGGATCGAAAAGCCGACAGTTTGAAAAGTAGCAAAGCTATGTATATACTCGCCCATGGGGTATCCCGCGGGGTGAGGGGCCGGGGGGAAAACTGGGCGAGCGGGGTACTGTGGTGCGGGGGGGCAGCCAATGAGCGAGCTGCTTTTACCTCCCACCACCTCTCGCGGTTTACCTCCCCGGCTCCCGTCCTCACGGGTGCATGCATGTGTGAGCTCGTGACGTCACGACGCGAGGAGCGACGTGACAAAGGTCCTGCGAGCTCGAGAGCAGAAGGGCGACTGAGGGAGTTTGCGCGTTTTTTTCGCACCAACGCCCGTTCGCTCGGACTCTCCTCCCCCCCTTCCACT